AGGACTTGGGCTTCAGACAGTTTGGTGAGCGTCATGATAACCCGGGTTTTCTCAGCCAGAATCTGTGCATAGGTCTGATACCGATTTAATGGGAAAAGGTCCCTAATTTCATCATTGAACGGCGTGAGCTGCAAATACTGCCCCAATCTCATAAGGTTGACAGGTACCTCCTGTTCAAGCATACCCCCCTGTAAAGATCTTTTGCGAGGCAGGGCCGGTCGTCCATCGATGCCCAGCATAGGCTCTTCCTTCTTCCACACCTCAACCCGTCTTATGCGGGGAAGAGGGGGCCGGGGATCTGTGTCTTCAACATAGATCTTCTTGTGCTTGCGCCTCTTCCTCTTGTGAGGCCGATCATCACCTCCACTCGTCCTCGCTGGTGGCGGGGTGCCTTCACGAGGCCGCTCATATGTTGGAGCCGCGGTGAATGTCCGGGTGACGGCGAAGTGAACCTTCGTGCATCGACGGTCCCTGCCGTGTTTCCTCCACGCTGACTCCCTCTTCGTGGGCTCCTCACGTTGATTGCTCTGCAAAATGGCTTCGTCGTCCGTAGAGTAGTAGGAGTAGTCGTCTCCACCGCCTCCGCAAATAAGCCGGGTAATCTCCATGCCACTTGCACCAAAATAGGCCAGGAAGCAAACCAAAAATAGATAAACCCGGATACTGCGCCATTGTTCCATGTACTCTGTATTCCATAATCCTGCTCCGCTGATATCTCTCCTCAACCGCGGCAAAGGGCGCCTCCTCGGGAGCGGGGTCCGAAGACTATTGTGAAGCGGCCTCCCCCCGGGGGAGCGGGATCGGGACTTAAATCGGATCCCTCGCTGCCAAGTCGGCGCGTCCGACAAACTCCACACTTCTCCCAAGCCTCGATATCCATCGGAACCCGAGGCCTGATCAACAAGATCAGCAACCTCTTCACTTCCCTGCCGCTCCTCATGCTCTTTGCTTTCTTCATGTTCCTCTTTTTCCACGAGGACTTCTTCCATCTCTTCCATCTCTTCTTTCACTTCCTCCTCACCTGCACCATCAACCTCAAGGGGCTGAAGAACACCCCAAGGCTCCAAGCCTAGTCTCCGACATTTGGCAGCAAATACCTCATCTCGGACAATCTGCTCATGTAGCACACAATATCCATATTGCCAGATCATCCTGTAGTCGTGCGGACCACGAGCCCAATAAACATTGTAAAGAAGTTCCGGTAGAATGTCCTGGCCCACCAAATAGACCCCATTGGTTGATTTGTACAAGGGCATCTCTGCATCCAGCAATTGCTGAACATTCACTGCAACCACCAAATCACAACCCGGCCTCATACCTGATTGGCCATGGTTCACAAAATAGGTAGTGCTGAAATGCACGTGTTGCCTGTGACCGCATCGCAGCCCCTGACGTCTGATGGACCCCCACGCCGCCAAATAAGTGCCATGAAATAAAGTGGGCTGATCCACCTCATCGGGCGTTGTAATCTGGCGATGCATCTCATTGCTGAGGTCCAACTCCTTGTTGTGGCCTTGTGTTGCGCGAATAAGCCACCCATCTTCTCCTTGATGCACCTCAAATCTGCCCTTCTCATCCCGGTTGACAGCCAAGAGCACGCTGTCGATCGAGGCATGTGGCTTCCTGGCCAAAATATCCTCCACCTTCACGTATCCCTCTCTGTCCATTTCAATACCTTCCTTCTCTGCTCCATGCCGAAGAACGAAAGAAAGGTATCTGCTGATATCATACGTAACTCCAGGAATATCGTCAAACTGTGATTTGCTCCTCCCTTTCTTGTGACCTTTGCCACCTCCACAAAGATCTCCAGAAGGATTCGTGCCTCCGCTATCGTCCATATCTCCAAGGTCGACACAAGGGGCACACAAGTCCAGAGGCGATCTCTTGTAGGCTTCCCAACCTCGCGATTTTCCAGCCAAAAGCTGTTCACCCGGATGGCCTCAAAGTGGTCGCTCCAGAGCCTGAGGACCAATGGCTTGATCTCCTGATCCTGGGTTGTGGGCAAAAACCTCACCACTTGTCCGAAGTGATTGAAGTTGCACTTACCACTCACGTTGACCACCCAAATTTCTTGGCGAAGAAAATTGGCAGTAGCCTGGATAGCCTCTTCGTCAGCCCATTTACCACCTGCTTTGTGCTTCTCCTTGGTTTCCTGATTGGCCTCCATGAGCACTTGCCTTTTGGTCCTCTTCCAGCTCCTGGCATGCCCAAAACGAAGTTGGCTCACAGCGTACCAAAAACAGTTGCCGCGCCCAGCATTGTTCAAGGTTCTCCCTTGCACTGAGCCATGCGTCGCCAAAGGGCCTTCCAAATCACGTCCAAACTTGTCCAGGTCCATGTCCAACCCGCCCAGCTGCTCATCTTCTATACCTCTTATACTGCATACTCGGCCAAGAAGCTGCCAGAGACGGAATACCACCTGCAACCATCCCCAAAAGAATAAGGCCATGCCCATCCAGCCAAGCAGAAGTCTCACGCCTCCAAGGCAGCTTCCATGGCCGAGGCCCACCAAGGGGCCAGGAATCACAATCAGTCTGGTTGAGCCATATGAAGGAAGCAACGGTTCTGCATGTCCCATATAAATGCTCACTGCATATCCGGGGGGCTCATTGCAAGGAACATTTCCATGAATAAACCAGTCCATGGCGTGGGTACATAACACCCAGAACATCACCAAAATAGGGAACCGAAAGGGTATCCAAGGGGTCAGTCGACATCTCCCTTGCGCCCAAATACGACACCCGGCCTGTATCTCATCCAATTCACGAAGAATAGTCACAAATAGGTAGTCCAATAATGCAGCTCCTCCACGAAGAAATCGGCATAAGGACAAATAAAGAATACCAATGGCGCCGATGACGAGGTACTCGAAGACCGCATCAATAGGTCGCTCTCGAAGAAGAATACATACCAATACCCAGCAATAATCATAGATACCAAATAGCACCAACTCATCTCTGCAGTCCTTATTGATCCTCACTCTGCTCCAAATGAGGGAGATCCAGTAAGCTGCTTTACCAGGAGAGATACAAATACCATTCCAAACGACCAAGAACATCTTCGAAAACAGGCAAACATAAGAATAGTCACCGCAAACTCGGGATTCCTCCTGAACCCCCCCATCTACATCTCCAAAGGATATGGAAAACATGAGAAAGTTGACCAGAAAGGCCAACATCAACCCCCGTCCCCAAATCTGTAACTGTCCGGGTGATGGGGCCATGACCAAGGAGGGGTCAGGTCCTACCGAACAGCTAACAGCTGTCACCGCGGGAAGGCTTGAGGCTGAAACAGCTGCTTTGATTGTGGCTCAACTGGGGAAATCTCGATGTTGATGACTGAGCCATTCAACTGCTTGAAACTAATGCAACATTGTCGAATCAACGCCATCGATGTGAATCGCATGGCGTGGAAGTTGGGTGAGTGCATCCCATGGGGTGTGCTTTACTATAGTAGGTGACGATAAGTATTGGCTGCTCGTCAAACGACAAGGGGCGATTTGGTGCTCGTGCTTCGCATTGCCATCCTCCATCAGTACCTAGTCCCCTTCACCCATGGTCAAAGGAGACGCCCAAAGCTGGGGAATTCGCGATTCAATTCCTGCAATGAGGCCGGCACTGAGGGAAGTCATAACTAACTACCTACCAAACTAACCAGCCAGCTAGCCAGCTAACTAACTAAACCCAAATAAACTAAACTAAATTAACTAAGCCAACCAACCAACAATAGCTAGCTAACTAACCAGCTAACTAACTAACTAACTAACTAGCTAGCTAGCTAGCTAGCTAGCTGGCTAGCTAGCTAACTATCAAAGTAGCAAACTAAAGCATGAGTTATTGTGTTTGCTGCTAAGCAACATCATGGTAATACATAATCAAGATAATAAGAACAAAGTAACAATCATAAACCAGAAATAACTCAAATCAAACAAACAAAGAAACAAACAAGCACACACAAAAACAAACAAGTAAAGCAAATCAACTGCTAAAACGATATACAAACAATCAAATGAATAAATACATATATAACTATACATATGACCACCCCCTCGGCATTCCCAGTTGTAAGGGCCCTCTGAACTTTTCAGATTGAGCACATGCACCACTTGAACTGTCATCGACGGCCAGGGGCTCGTTTCAAATGTCATTCCACTTCCTACAGCTTCTTGGATGACCACCCCTGGCTGGGAAGCTGTTGATAACCGCACTCGGTAAGTCTGTTCAGTGATGTGTAGGATGCTCAGGGTTTTGTGCCATGCACTCAATGACTGGGACGGCCATCCGAGTGAGGTACTTGGGGTGGATGTTCGTGTCACTTGTAGCAAACTGGCTCACAAGAGCAAGGGCCTGAGTGAAATAACCAATCCAGTGCAAAATAACAGTTTCTGGGAACGTTTTGACTGTGGTGAGTCCGGCAAATTTCTAGGTGTGCTGCTGCCTTCTGCCCCCATCAAGCACCACCCCAGCAAAAGGAAAATCAAGCACAATTGTATAGCCCAAAAGGTGATGTTCAAACCACTTTACTAAGCAAATCGGACCGGCTGGCCCGGAGTTGATGACCTCAAGCTGCTGCAAGCGGTGAAGCCTAGGAAATATTTGCCATGGTTACTCGGCAAGGGGAGGGGGAATCAGGGGGTGGCCATGGTTTCCTTTGATCTTGGAAAGGCGAAGGAAAACCACCAAGCACGGAACCAGCACCAAAGAAGCCCCGATCAACGACCAAGCCTGGAAAACCCTGATGCCTCCAGATTAACCCACACTGGGAGCTTCCATGCCGCCCGCCCCCAAGAAACGCATGGGCATCATTTACACGGGTGTGTCTGTTTTGGGCGGGAACGATCTTTTGGCTGGCTTCAAAACCAAAAGGAAGTCCCCCTTCAAACACAGACACACACACACACACACATGCAGATATATGTCCACCAACCGTATCGAAAGTAAGTCATTGCCACATATTTTGCCAGCGGCAAAACAGGAGCATATCAAACATGGCCAAGGATCTTTGGCTGCCGGGGAGGAGGTCCTGAGCCAGCTCAGGTGTTGTTGTCTTTAAGCAAATATGCCATTATTAAAGGGAAACCGACAGGAAACCAGCATTTTGTGTTTTTTCTAGTTTGAGACAAACCCATGTCTGTGAAACTGGAAGGAAAACCACCCGCAAAAAACAGCTCTGTTTCCCTGGGTGGTAAACCTCACATGTTTGGTCTTTCGAGGCTACTCCCTTTTGGTGGTTTAAGGCAAAACCAAGAGAAGAACCCCCATTTTGGGGGTGGGGGGGGGGGCGATCTCCCAAAAACCGACAGACACTGTGATACCAAAAGGGCTTCAAAAAGACTGTGTAGGGATATCATACATGCATGCGCACATCTAAAGATGCATGTGTATATGCAACTATATATAATATAACCCCCCAAAGCAAAGGTGGAGATTCCCAAAAGTACACAGAAGTGATTGGATAAACCCCGAGTGATCCCACAACTCTGCCCCAAGGAAAGGCCCCATGAAAGAAGCTAAACCTGTCATGGGCGCTATGAGCCTGTTTTGACATTCAGACAAACGTATTGGCTGTCCCTAAAGCATGCCTGACAAACATGCAGCATATCCACAATATCAACCTATATTAACTCCCCCTTGCCTGTTTCTCCTTTTCCCATGCCAAATCAGGTTCCCCATGTTTGCCCTTAACACATCGCACCTACCAAAGGAAACTCACCTTGGTACCAAGAGATGATCCTTATGTCGCACCACCAAGAAGGGATGTGACTTCTTTGAAGGTACCCTTTTTTAGATTGGTTTGAAGAGGAACCAAAACGAAAACTCCACCGACTTCTCTTGCTGATGCTCAGAAGGGAATAACCTTCTCCCGGGACTGAACCGGAACGGGATTCCCAAGGAAACAAAATCGGGGACGGTTTTTCTCGGGTTCATTCCATTTCTCCTTCCCTGCCTACCAGGGCTGTGGGAAATGGAATACACTTCTGTGATACAACAGAAAGGGACCCCCCATAAGGAGGGAGTAAGAATCACAGACGTGGTCGGATAAACCCCGAGTCATCAACCACGGGCCCCTGCCTGAACCCAGGGATCCTTACATCATACACAACATTGCCCTGTAAAGTGGTGGTCTTCCCCTTTATTTTTTGGTGGAAAAAACAAAAAACACCATGTTTCAAATGGAGCCCTGCCACCCCATTGGTGTAAAAGCACCCTGGCGATCTTTTTTCAGGAGCCTAACCCGCCAAAAACCCGCCGAGGCGCTCGGAGCTGTGGCGCACCAGGATGCCGCCCTTGCTGCGGCCGCCCAGCACCTGCCACACGCGGCTCGGCCGCTCGAGGGTCTGGTCCTCGTGATCGACGCGTCCGCGGAAACCCAAAAGACAAAAAGTGGGATACACCAGCCGCTCTTTGACATGTGACATGTATCATCTTGTTTGCTTGTTTTTCCTTTCTTCTTTGGTTTGCTTTTTGCTTTTCGGGGGGAGTTGGGGGGATGATCGTCTTCCGTCTGGCTTAAACCAAGCTAAAAAGGGTACCCCCGCAGAAAAAAAAGAAGTCTCTATATACAAAAGGGTAGATACTCCAGGTTGATAAATTGGTTTCACCTGTGATCATGAGAAAACTCGGCTTTATCAGACCCCTATATAGTCCTCTGTGTGGCAGGAAGGTTGCCAAATTGGTTTACTGTAAGGGCCTGCATAATTGGAACGGGGTTGTGGAATGGGGCTAAACCAAATTACCTCATGATCATAGGAGTATCGTGCTTGATATTATTTACGGCAACTACTCATGTGATTCCTTCCCAACATCTGAGATGATTTCCGCACCGGGTGTACAATGGGCGCATATAGTGGCGATCTGGTGGCTGTAGATCCCATTAAACCAGTAGGGGTAGCGGTTTGGGGTAGTGGAAACTATTTGGAAATGACCGAAGCGCAGTTTGCCCGCCTGCGGATAGATGCACATGAAGCCGAACACGCCATCATTTCTATAGAACTCTCCCAAAGAACTTTGGTTCCACTGTATTTATGTTCCAGTTGGAGACTTTCCATTTCCATCCTCTCCCAAAAATAGCAAAGGTCAGCGATAAGATCGGATGTCAACGTCTTCCGATTCAGCTCTTCAGCTGTTCGAGTTGAGAGGCATCAGGGTTCGGCAGCTGAGCCGTCAAATGAGTTTGCTTCTGAAGGTGGCTCAACAAAGTTCCCTATGTTTCCCCCTTAAACGTCCAGCCAAGAGGAAACTCATCTGAAAATGGTCGAAAAGTGGAGAGGGAACCCTGGGTTCAACAGGGTTCCCCAAAGGATACATCCTGTTGGGGGCATCCTCTAGGTCAGCTGGAACTTAGTCTCTGTCTGGCCAAAATGTACCCTTGGGACCTTGTGCAAATCCATCACTGGGGCTGCTTTGTGTGCCGAAACAAGTTTCGGATCCCTCGAAACGGCTTCTGCTGTTTCCCTTTGCTGCCATCCTGACTCGCACACTTTGCTGGGTTTACTTGGCGGACTTGTTTGTTTGGCTTATGGTTGTGGGAATTGCCACTGACGAAATCGTCCCTTTCGCCGGAGGTTCTGTGATCTCACTGAACTGGGAACAAACCAACCCAATTCGACAGCCCCTATTACAACCCTCTCCCTAACTTTTGGATAGAATCCTTTGGCAACAGCTTTTCCCTGGCTGAATTTTAGACCTGGAACTATCCCCCAGTCCAGCGGGCGTGGACTAAAAAAGGAACGTTTTGGGGTTGAGCTTCCTTTCAAACCCCGGGACATCTGGCCATCAAGGATGGGCCATTCAGGCGTGAGCTTCTTGGCTCCCATCAGCAAACAACAAACCCTCCGCATCCACCTGCATTCCCCCACCCCCCAACCATTCCTTCAGCGGCAGCCAGCCCTCTGCGGGGCCCTGCCCGTAGAGGCGTCGGAACCGGAGCCGCGCGCCCTCGCGGGCCAACTCTTCCAGCAGCGCGCCTCGGACAGCGGGCGGTCAAAGGCCAATGCCAGCGTCCGATCGCGGCGATTCGGTGGAAGCCCCTAGATACATGCAAGTGCACACATGAATCTTATGAAGATGCATATGTGCATATGCAATTATACATATATACATATGTATATGTACGTGTGCATCTATATACACTGGTTACATGTATGCTGTTTGTGTGTAATCATACATGTACGTATGTGAGGCCTCATGTACGCATAAGCGTGTGTGTGTGTGTGTATATATATATATATATGTGCACCCCCCAATGGATCTACCGATTAAAAATCGATTTGCTGTTTGAAGGCTATTTTGGAGATGGAATGTAGTTGCTTTGATTTGGATTGCCCTATGCGACTTGACCGCATCAGCTCCTCCGCTTAGAAAATCCTCTTCAAAAGCAGATTTGAAGTAAACATTTCAATTAAACAACGTCTTTGAAAAGAAGAACTCCTATGCATTGTTTCTGTTTCCGTTAGACATTCTACTAGAAGTATGCCCGTATTAAATGCTTTAAGTTCTGATCAAGCAATGAAGAGTTCGTTCTAAATACATTTAAATAAGACTTTCAATTACACATCTTCTTTGAAAAGGAAGTCCTATCAAATATATTTAAACAAACAACTCTACTAGAAGGCTTTCCTTATGAAATATGTCGCACAAATTATAATTAGAAAATTGAGACACCAATAATAGAAAAGAACCCCATTTAAAACCTACTTCGAAATAAGAAAAAAACAACGTAACATCTTATTTGAATAGGAAACCCTCTTTCAAATCTAATTTGAGACAGAGCTCTCTTTGAATGTTGCTTAAATCCTGCTCGAACTGTTCTTGAATATTCCAAGTAACAACCAAAAAAGCAAAACCACAGGGAGTTTGTCTGAAACAAACATATTTTGCTAAGGACATTAATTAAGCAACAACATGTGTTTCTAATTATGTACAGTAAGCAAAAACCACGAGAAAACGTCCGATTCTAAAAGTGTGATATAATAAACCCTAAACCCTACACCCGAAACCTGTCCTAAACCAGTCCTACCAAAAGGTGCAACATAATAGCATTACTGGTAAACAAAATGGTAACAACGGTTAAAAAAGAGCAAAATTATGGAAACAAGTACACAACGTAAATTATTGAGCAAAGTGACCGAAAAGTAACAAGTAAAAAGGCCAAAACACTGGAGCCAATGGCCCACATGTAAAGAAGTAGAAAGTAAAATATGTCAGTCCACGGCTAGAGCATACCTTGTTCCCAACCCCTGATTTGCTTAGAGAAGCCCAACATTTGGCGTACAGAGTTTGTCGTTTACGGATGTAACCAGCGGTATCCCCCCATGCCCGCGCTTCTCGCGCCTGTGGACAGCCGACCCACCGTGGAGTCCGCCAGGCCTTCCTTAGCTCGGGCTTGGTGAGAAAGAGTTGCCTCAAGTTGAAAGGGTGAAGACTGAACCACAGACAAAGCCAATGTTGTAGTGCCCACCTTCGTACCCTGCCACCAACTAACATGGAACCTGACCGGCCCTGGAAAAGCCATCTTTCAAAGGACCATCCGTAGTGTTCCATGTTTGCTTGTTTCCGTTTCATGGACAGCTATGGGGGAGTCTATTGCTGGATCCACAAGAAACAAATAGTGTGCAAATTATCTGTCCCTGATTGGAGCCGGCTCACTGAAGCAATGGCAACTGGAGCCATGGCAACTGGAGCCATGGCAGCCTATTAGTGAGTATTAGCTCTGTGGAGCCAAAAAGGACCTTTGCAGGGCTATGATCTTCCCATGGCTCCCCTTAGACTGACTGACAAATCGCCGAACAGCTGGAAAGACATGTACGGAACCCCTGCCGGTGCTCCAACTGCCCTGAGGGTACCCTATGTACATTTTGCCAGGACTGTTGTGGAAACATTGACCAAAACCACTGGTGCAAACAAAGCGCGAGGGTGACCCCAAAACGACCAGGAAAGCCGAAATTTCGGCGTGGAAACCTGAGATTGAGCCTGAAACTTGACCCCAAGGGATCCCAAAGAGAGACTCCTAGTGTCTTACTTGTCAGCAGTGTACATGTCAAGAGAAATATTCTCATGGCGCTTCTTAGGACCATGGACGGACATCCCCAAACTCCCGAAATGCCCGGGTCCATTTTCACCAGTCATACCAAACGCGGGAAATGATCGATATGTATCAACACACCCACACACACACACACAAAAACGCAAACACCCACCCACCCACCCACACACACACACCCACCCACCCCACCCACCCACACACACCCATCCACACAAACACACACACCGTACTTCAAAACCAAACTTCTTCATGCAGGAGTAAACTTCTTCATGCGGTGTGTCCTTGGTCCAAACCGCATCCACGGCTCCGTGCGCACCAGGACGCCGCCTTTCTCAAGGCCACCCACCACCTGCCGGGGACTCATGCCGACTCCCAATCGATTTCCCCTCGCCCGTACCACCGGACCTGCTCAAGCCGTCCCGAGACCGCAAGTCCGGGTAAAGGGCCCGAAAGGTGATCTCAAAACCCCAGAAGGCAAACGTGGGTCTGAGTTTCTGTTGAAGTCGGCCTTTTGCAACTCACTGCTGAAGGGACTAAGTGATGTCTCCACGCTCCAAAAGGGGAAAATCTAGGAAACCCTGCACCACTCATCCCAGCGAGCTCCCTATCCCAGTGCAAGCCACACATTCTGAAGCCAGGAACCCCCCCAAAACCGTCGGCCGCAACACATCCGCAACTGAGTCGCCACTGAGCAAAGCTGTCAAGAATTTGTGAACGTGTCATGGGTATGGGTCAGAACTTGTTCCCTTCAAACTGTTGCTTTCAGCATTGTGTCCTTTTTCAATCAAGCATGTCCCTAGGTTGACACATGGGTATACGAGTCAAAGTGCCGAATCGCTTGCACAAATGTTGTTAGTTTTCAGTCAAGGCAGAGCACTTGATAGACCCATTGTCTTGACACAGCCCGCGCTCGTCTCAACCAGGCTGCCCCCTGCTGATCATGACGTAGATTTCAAAGGTTGAGCCTCAAAGTACGCATATCCCCTGGTCTGAAATTTGGAATCCACAAGGACACCGATACCAAATACGGTCAATTACCACCAGTGGGTTCCTGTATGAAATGGTTGGAAGGACGGTGATAACTGAAACCCGCAAGTAGGCAAGTTACAGCCCCCAAGGATGGGAAGCCCCGACCTTTAGTAAACATGGTTCACAAGGGCGCCTTCTTCAACTTCCCTTTTGGGTTTGGAGATTGCCCTTTTGCGGAGTCCTTGACCTCTCCCGGAGTCTTGCCTCCCACAGCCCACCAGCACCCATGGCACTGATCGAGGCGCGCAAAGATGCGCTGGGAAGAGCTGGTGGTGGCAAGGCGCCAAATGAGGCTTGATGGAGGCATCACCCCCCAAACTCCCCGTGTATCATGTGACCATGTATGTGTATACATATATTTGCAACCCAGGTTTTGAACCTGGACAATTGCCAAAATCACTGGAAAAATGAAACTTTTGAGAAACATGTGTATTTTCGCCTCTGCGAAACGCATTTTTCAAGTCAAACAGTAAATGTGGGCAAGTTCAATTAGTTTGTCAAACAAACAAACAGTCAGCAAGTCAGCTAATTAGTCAGTTAAATTGGTGTGATGAATTGGCTCTGAAGCAAGTTAGCTAGTTAATTGGCTAATAACTTAGTTATCTATTTAGCTGCCTAGTTAGTTGGAAAAAACTGAAGGTATTCCCCTAATATTCCCCTTCCTTTACTAGTGAAATATTTGGGGAACACTAGGGGGGTAGTGAGGAAACACTAGGGGTATACCAAGAGAATACTAAAGGAATACTAGGGCAATACTAGGGCAGAACTAGGTACATACTCAGGGAATACTAGGGCAATATTAAAGGTGATACTAGGATAATACGTGGGAATACTGAGGGAATACTAGCAATATACTCTCAAGCTAAATCTGTCTGACTTCTCTCAGGCTTCCTGACTAGGGCAATACTAGGGCACTACGGAATACTATAAGTGAATACTGGAAGAATTCTAGGAGAATACTGAGACAAAACTAGGGGTATACCAACAGAATACTTAAGGACTACCAGGGCAATACTCAAGATATTCTCCTAGCAATTCCATCCCTTTACTAGGGGAAACAGCAAGGGAATACTATGGGGTAGTGAGGAAATACTAGGGGTATACCAAGAGACTACTAAATTAACTGAATACTAAGGCAATAATTGGGGAATACTAGGGCAATCATAGGGCAATACTAAGGAAATACTCAGGAAATACTAGGGCAGTATGTTATTAAAGGTGAACACTAGGAGAATACTAGGGGAATTTCTGAGGGAATACTAGGGGTATACCAAGAGAATATTTAAGGAATACCAGGGCAATACTGAATGTATTCCCCTAGTATTACCCTTCCCTTACCAGGAAATACTCGGGGCATACCAAGAGAATACTAAAGGAATACCAGGGCAATACTAGGGAAATACTCAAGGAAGACTAGGGCAATATTAAAGGTGAACACTAGGAGAATACTAGGGGAATTTTGAGAGAATGCCAGGGGTATACCAAGAGATTATTTCAGGAATACTAGGGCAATACGGAAGGTATTCCCTTAGTATTGCCCGTCCCTTACTAGGAAATACTCGGGGCATACCAAGAGAATACTGAAGGAATACTAGGGCAATACCAGGGAAATACTCAAGGAAGACTAGGGGAATACTAAAGGAGCATACTAGAAGAATGCTAGGGGAATGCTGAGGAAATACGAGGCTCAATTTGTCTGACCTCTCATGTTTCCTGGCTAGGGCACTAGGGCAATACTAGGGGAATACTCAGAAAATACTAGCGGAGTAACAAAGGTGAATACTAGGGGAAAACTGAAAAAACTGAAAAACTGAGAACAAAACTGAGAAAAAAAACTGAAAAAAACTGAAAACACTGAGAAAAACAAACTGAAAAAAACTGAAAAACATGAAAAAACTGTAGAACAACCAAGGATTCAGGGGGACATGCCTGGAAAGGCCCCATGTTCCCTGAATCCTTGGTTAGTTTTGTTCAGTGTTTTTCAGTGTTGTTCAGTTCTTTTTGCAGTTTCCAAAGCGCTTCCTTGAAGAGATGCCCTTACGCCATACTGCTTGGTTGCAGCATTGGCTGCCAAATGAGAGGCTTTTGACAGATGCAGACAGTGGGCCTGAAAAGTGTGTGTTCTGGGAGATGCAGGTTTTGGTGACAAAGCACTGTAAATACCAGTGTTTTCTCACAAAACCTGGTTTCTTTTTTTTTTGGGGGGGGGGGGCACCATATATTTATATATCCATAAGCATATACATCATATACTCATGTGTGTAAGCTAGTGTACATGCCGGCTGAAGTCGCTGGATTGATTGTGCTAAACAATGGATCGAGGATCTGAGTGAGTTATCCAGCGTTGACTGTGGGCAAACTGCGCGCTCCAAGGCTGCAGGCTCAAGCTAAAGCCACCACAGCATGGGGCCAAATGAGCGGACGATGCACCTCGCGATGCCACGTGAAGATTCACCCCCGCTGGTTTTGCGGACAAATCGGATTGGTCAGAATCTGAAATCGATCCCTCAAGCCCCAAGACAAGTCCTCGCAAGGCCAAATGGGCTCCATGGGAAGCCCCTCAACCCTTGGCTCTCTGGGCAGTACTATTTCCAGCGACGTTCAATTTCCGAAGGAGAACCGGACTGGGCTGGTGAGCCTGGGGCGCACTGCCTGCACACAAGCTCACAATCATAAGGAGCTAAGTGGGAGCCAAGTCGCCAAATATGCATCGGATTAACATGGAACCCCATCAACCCTCGTTTCTGGAAGCTCCGATCTGGCGATCTGGAGACCTCCAGCTTTGACGACTAAAACACAATACTAGTCCAAAGGCTGGAAAATATCTGGAAACCAGCCTTGAACCTTGACGACAAACCAACTAGACTAGGAACAGCCAAAGGTTGAAAGGTCGGCTTTGGGCAACTGTGATTGTTGCTAGACATCTGGCGAACGGCACAGCTTATCGTCCAGCGTATCTGAAACTTATTTGGTCTGAGATTGATTTGGCAATTCTCTGGAGAGACAAATGCACAGTCAAGCCATCTTCTACTGCCGGGGTTGACGCAACATGGTTCACGTTGTGATCCAGCATCAGTGCATTGACTTGCGGTACCTGACCGCATGATCACAAGGATGAACTTGCTTCTTTCAAGGCTTCGGCAACTGGACCTGTCCCAAAGTATGAGCGCCCCTTAATTAATACCACCCAAAAGCAGGCCTGAAAACCAGGTTCCCATGATTTGTGCCAGATAGCCCGCCTCAAATCACTCAAACGGGCAAGACTTCCTCCCAAAGATTCCAGACCCTGGAAAGCGCTTTTCAGCACCTCTCCTTAAAGGCACACGCCAAATGCTTGGGAAACTGAGCACCCGCCCCTTTTGGAAATGAACCATCTACAGGCCAATTCATTTCAAGCCAACGGAGCTTCCGGCGCAACGCCCGCTTCGCCGCGTAATTACGCCTCTGGGCCACCCTGCTGCGGGCGCCAGCCTTGCACTGCAACGGGTTCCAGGCAAAGCTGGGGGTTGAGACATTGGATTCGATGCATTTGGATGAGTTGTCTTTCATTTGCGAGAACAACATTTGCCCCCCCCCCCCCCCCCTCCCCCCCCCCCCCCGCCCCCTTCCCTCCCCCAAATCTCCAGTTGGGCTAGCATATGTTTCAAGTCATGTTGAAACCATAGGCGGTTGAATAGCCTGGTCTTTCCTTCAAGAAAGGGTCCCTGGACGCAAATTTTATGCATCCCTGAATTGGCTGGGCTTGGAGTATATCGATATATTGGAAATCCTCACGGGGATGGAGAATATGCGAGAAAAGCACTTCAAGTTGTGCAGTTGTCAACTGATTGGAATCGATTTTGGATTGGAAGACCATTCTGAGGAATCCACTTTCTGAAGCTCGCCATCCACTCGCTTGCAACTTGAAGCGATTGAATATTGCCAGCTGGGAATTCAAAAGCATGTGAGTTGGGCCATTTTGCCCGAGGGTTCACTAGCTTCACTCAAAGTCTGCGAGCGTCTCCGTACGGGCATTCCCAGGTCGACCGACGAATGGCGAGCCCAAATCCAGTTGAAACAACATTGTTTGATGTCTAGGTAATTGTTGCCAAAAATCCAAGCTGGAAATAAGTCACCCGAAGGAACCGTCATCTATCAAAGTGTTTCAGTCGCTGTGCTCACGCCCCGTGCCTGCCAGCACTCGGGCGCAAAATGCCGAGGCCATGGCCCAAAAATCGCGGCGGCCGGGAATCCGGATGAAGTGCACACGCTTCGGTTTGAATGCCCAGCGTAGCAGAGTGATCCCACAAAACACGTTTGGGTCCAGAATGGCGGGAACTCCGAAATGGCAACGTGGTGAGAAACCTGTCTGGTTTTGCGCTCACCTGGGCTGTCTGGTCTGACTTTTTGAGTCAAGCCCTTGTGAAGCATGGGCATCCAGAATCATCCTGTGAGCCTGTCACAACAGGGGGGGTCCTTAAAGGGGGGCCGTAAACACACACACACACACATGGCATTCGCACAATGTTCTTGAAGAGTCCCGCGTGTTGGACTCCGTTCAGTCGAACAATGGCTTTTAGAACTGCTTAGATCTGAGAGGGCACGGCCTTAATGTTTGGCTGGCAGTCTGGCCAAATGGCGTCACCCTGTGAAGAAACAGTTTGTTCACTATCAGTGAAATCGCGCGGGGCCGAACCAAACAGCCAAAAAGGAAGGATCAGCCGTCGGTCAGCCGCTAAAATCCTAGACCACCCCCTGGCCCTGAACACATCTCGTGGCACCAATAAAGGATTTATCTTGTCTCAAAATGTCAGTGGTTGCTTCTTGTTCAGCGGCTTGCAATGTGCCCCCAACACACGCGATCACCGCTGCAAGGGCGTGAAACAACCAAGCTAGCCACAAACTAGAGGTGTATCCACCGCCGTGTTCCCGCTGCAGCTGTTCACATCCAAGCAGTAAGTGACTAATTTCCTACTGTTGCAACAACCGATGCGGGCATACCCAATCAACACGTCATCATCCATGCCCACCCCCCACCAAACAAGAAGGCAGGTCAGTGTACACAGCTCCATGCGAAGAAATTGCAACTTTTATTAGCACCTTTTTTCCTCGCGCTGGAGCCCAAAGCCACTGCTGAACATGGCCACGGCCAGGAGAGGGGGGTTCTGATCGATTGCCGTGGGCCGGTGGTGTCTTCGTTGCGCCGGCATGACATGTTCTGACCTTTTGGTAGCTTATTCAGCCCCCAATGACAATGCAACAGTTCTAAGTCTCAGTCATGATCTTTATCCAACAAACTCTCTGAACATCTGCAAGCCACTGGCCTGCTTTGATCAAAAC